TAGTCTACATAATATTTCGGGCCGGTTTTCAGTTTCGGTTTGACTAAAATAACGGTTACGGTCCGGTTATCGGTTTCGGTTTCAGTCCGGTCCGGATCCTTGATACTAGTATCAAGCTGCTCTTGAAATCCTGATGAAGTGAGCTGAAATGTTCACGAAACTTCGGTATAAAAATGACCCTAATGCGGTTCAAACTCGAAAAACATCTTCGAATGTTAATACACCGCGAAAGTATCAAATATCAGAACGTGTCTCTCATTTAATTTGAATAATCGTTCTACTGTATGTATTAAACTAACAGAGATTCATATAAAATTTTACAAAAAACATTGCGAACATTTATATATAATGTTCACAGTGCATTGTGAATAATGCATATTTTCATTCATTCAATTCAAATGTGCATGGACTGTATATGTATAAAACTATACATAATTTATTTAATTCATAAATATGAAAAAAAAAAACTGCTTTCTGAGCATTGAAACTATGGAAGAATATCATTATTCTTGAAAGAATGCTTTATCATCGAATAAAGTTCACATTATTGTATATACGATCGAATCGTAGTTCGGCTCATTTACTGCGGTTTTGTTCCTGAACAATATAGATCTAAAGAGTAAATTGACTTCGGTGACAAAAGAAATTTGTGAGTTTTTCATTACTAATATTTTGCAATTTTCATTTATTATCTAATCGTGATTTATAGATTTTAATATTTTAAACTAATAATATATGAATATAAAGACATGAAGAGCCGTTCGCAGGATGTTGTGCGTAAATGTGAGAATATATATATATATATATATATATGTATTCACGTGTAATATTTTTCACGTGAGTTTTTTTGGAATTGAAATAACAATTCTTTAAATCAAATATGATGCTAATATTGCATCTTATATATGCAGGGTTCCCAATACCCCCTTAACTAATTTTAAAATATTGCGAAAAAAACTCCTCAGCCAGGAGTCGAACCTGGAATCTCCGGCTTTCCGGGCCGTCGCCTTTTCTGTTAGGCCACCGAGTATTACACGTGAATACATATATATATGCATTCATATACCCAGCAAACAATTTGGTTGCGAGATGTCGCAGTTTTGTCGCCAACCGCCGGCGAAATCAGTAGACCAAATCCATATCCATCTGAGTCCTCATTAGGATATGGTTTGGCGACCATATCTGTCAAACATGTGAGATGTCAAAATGAGACCAAAATCATAACAAGTCTGCCACTAGCAAAGCAAAGCCAAAGTGACGCACCAAATCCAGAACAGATTTGGTGATCG